TGGGGTTGCTGTGACCCAAGTGCAGGACCTGACACTCAGCCTTGTTGGACCTCATAAAATTGGCCTCAGTCCATTGATCCAGTCTGACCAGATACCTCTACAGAGCCTTGCTACTCTCAGGTAGGTCAACACTCCCACCCAACTTGGTGTCACCTGCAAATGTACTGAGAAAGCAAGTACTCGATCCCCTTGTCCAGATTCTTGATAAAGATGTTAAACAGAACTGGCCCTAATGCTGAGCCCTGGGGAATACCATCTGTTGCCAACCGGATTTAACTCTATTCACCACAACTCTTTGGGCCTGGCCATCCCATCACTTTTTTACTCCGTGAAGAAAGTATATATTTTGTTTGAATATTTTGTGAAACACACTGTTTATATTTATCTGACAGCAGGAGACCTTCTCCAGAGTAACTACGTTAAATACAAGTTCTCATCTCTAATCCTACTTTATTAGAATAGTTGTAAGTTAAAAAAAAACAACAATCCCCAAGAAACTATGTGGCAACAACATTCATCAACTTCAACTGGCCTTAAATGCATCAAAACCACAGTTCAGGTTTCCACAGGCAAATGCATATAAATAAGGGCAGTGAACCCAGAAGCTGACAAATCTCTCATGGTAAACTTGCTTGAACAGGGCGGGGTTGGACTGTGGTGACTTGATGGAAAGATGCTATGTAAGTGGGAAAGGAGAGAAGAAATTTCCTAGAAGAGCATTATGTGGGTAATCTGCCCTGGAGTTTCCTCTGACTTCAATTACCGTGATGAAAGAAAGTACACTATGTTGTATGAAGTAGGATATCTCACTTTATGCTCTTGAAAACCATTTTGGGAGCCATTTTGAGCATTTATCTGAAGAAGGCATGGCTAGAAGCTGGCCAGCCTGGAGGGGCTGGATCATGCTGCTGTAAATAGTAAGTGAAAGCTACTGGTCGCCAGCTCTGAAAAGGATAAAGTTTACAGGTTATACCAGACTAAAGGGACAACTTACTTTGGGACGGCCATAGCAGACAGACAGCTGGAAATGGCAGCCTGCTTTTAACTGAGGAGTTTCCACTCCCATTACTTGGACAAATCAGCTGTCAAGTGATGGCAGTCTACAGCCAGACATGTTAGGAGAGCACAAGAACAGCTGCCTTATGTTTATATCAGGGCTGAAAGCTGTAGCAGTGCTGTTATACATATACCTCAATGGTCCCCAGAACAACAGACAGACAGAAAGAGGAACTGCTACTGCCACCCCAAGGACAAACAGCTTCATGTATCAATCAGAACCCTTAGAAGAAACTAGTTAGATGAGGGACTATGCCAGACTGAGTCAGAAGGCAGCCAAGCAGAAAGATGCTGAGCTGTACACTCAGCCATTTATAGCCATGGTAACAGACTAAGAGCTTCAAGGCATTTGCACTGTCCTGTTACTATTAATGAAAGTTTCCAAGCTCAGGGATGAGTTATGAACCTGGAGAGCAAACTGTTCACCACTGCTTAAAAGCAAAAGCTGCATCTGTAACGGATGAAGCCCTCTAGAGTCCAAACCCCCACACTGCTTTTATTAAAAAATAATCTGGAAAAGAATCGTTTGGTCAACTAACCTAGTTTCCTCTCTTGTAATATATTTCATAACTCTTTTGAGCAACTGTAGCTTTTTTCAGGAGAGTATCTATTTCTCTAGCAGAAATGTGTAAAGAGTCAGATTACATTGCAACCGAAATTTCTATTATAAGATAGATGTTACAAAATCTGTTAAAATACTGTTGGTCAACACCAGCTTTTGTATTTGATTTTTTTTTAAATAATTATTTGAATTCTTATAAACTATTTTGAAGCTATGTTTGTGTAGTAGAGAGTACTACATACATATATATATGTATATATATAATACACTTTATAGGGTATTTCCCATATTTTTTGCACTTGTGGAAGTTTAAAAAATAATTTCCAAATACTGTTCCTCCCAGGCTGTCTGTGATTTGCAATAAAGAACTAAGTATTTATTTTAATCATGGAAATACCTGTAGCTTTTCTTGACTGTATTGTAGTATATACTTAACCTCCACACACTACTCTGCACAAAGGATTTAACTCCATTTTAATTTGATGGGAGCTTTTCAAACAGACTATTTGCGTACGGCCTCCCATAATTTTACTTCCATCTAACCTCACTCCCTCTCACTAAAATCAAAATTGGGGCAACACAGTTTTCAATATCCTGAGTTTTTCCTTGGCAATATTTTCTTTGTTGAGTCACTTTATATATCCAAAGCATAACAGCTGAATATAATAAAGTCTTCATTTAAATTTAAACACATAACTACAAGAAGCAATCATTAACAAATTAAATTGTAAAATACCCCATGCTGAAAAATGTAAACAGTTTTGTTTAAAAAAAACAAAAGAAAACATTTTCAGTGGATGACAGCTTTTATTTCATCATATATATTTCATTTCACCAAGTATATTTCATTACATTTGCTCCTCATTTTGACCCATATTGTGCCTACATAAAACAAAAACCACAAAGGTAATTTTCTTACCTCTTTCCACAAGCTGAATCCAATTATTGTGGGAACTGCCATACTCAGAATAAGAGCCTATAAAACACGTGTTAGAAGAAATGGATTATGGACCGTTCTCTGTTCTTCAACCTTGGACTATATGTTGACTCTGCTCATATAGTAGGCTACATTTATGCCTGAAACATTGGAGTGACAGTAGGTGAAATTTCCCAGTTTTCTACCAGGCAAAAAAACTCTCTGCAAACAAGAATTAGCCTAATTTTGCACAGAACAACTTGTTTGACCCATGATAACTCTACTACCAATATTAGGGATGGTTAATTACTATTCATATAACAACGATGCAATATGGACATGATGTAGAGAACAGAAGAAAAATAAACACCTCTCACATACAAATGAAAATGAGATAATCTGAGAAAGGAAAAAAAAGTACTAAACAAGCATTTCAAACCTCTAATCTTCTTGATGCTTTTGTTCAGATTAACAATATTGATATGGAAAACCTAGAAATCCATTCTTAAGCACACCATCATTGTAGCTGATACAATTTTCACTTTGCAAAAAAGAGAAAATAGCTAGCATGGTACAGAAAACATTTGGTAAGGAGGGCACACAAGACATTCTCTTGATAATAAGCTGTTAACACACTTACTGTGTTAATAGTAATAAAGCAGGCCTATATAGCAGAAAACATGAAGTATATGAAGGAATATGTTTACCATGCATATGAACATACTGTTACTCCTTGATTGGAAGAACACTGTCACTGCTTCTGATGTAAAAGTGTATGGCATTTTCACGAGTGACATAGTGAATCTCTGTTTAAGTATTAAATATTTATTCCTATAAGCCTCTTGAAATTAAGGTAAGTAATATCCTACCCTTACTTTATTAAAAAAATGCAGAAAACTGCCAAAAATTGCACAAAGTAACTCTCGGCATATTAAGAATAGAGCTAGGGTTGGAAGCGGGGGAGTTATTTGCACTATAGCACAAGCTCATCTTCAATTGCAACACTTCTGTATAATGGCCACACATGAACACAATTACGCATTTCTTATGAAGCAGCTTCACTCTCAGCAATAAAATACACTTAACTACTACATTTTTGCCTCACTGCCTAGTGAACAAGGCTTATATCAATGCTTACCTGCATGCCTGTACTTTTTCTCCTGCACTCCTCCTACAGAGTGCTTGACCTTCTTGGCCAATCACAACTAAATACATCAGAGGGCTTCAGGTCTCAAAGATTTGTTAAAAGAAATTAAACAGATGAGTGAAAGCTAGAAAGATGAAGACAGCTTTGCTTCTTAGGAGGAAAGGCTGTAGTGTGAACACAACTTTATCACCAGGTACCAGAGAACATGTGAATGTACGACATTAAGAATGAAAGACACAGAGGAGACACAGAGGAAGTGGACTATATGAAATCCACTGCTCACAGAACTACATGTTCTTTTAATGGGTTCTTCTATAGCTCTTAGGTCATTGTTGTTTGAAAAGTTATATGTTTCCTAGATATAATTCCCAAGACCTTGGCAACAGCAACTCACCAGCAATATTGGGTGCACAGCTTTCAGTCGAAGCCACTTGAAAAGTGTCATCCAAAGTTCAGGAGAGCACACACCAAATGCAGCAAGCATGCAAACATAAGGTGTCCATAGATACTTCATTCTGAAAAACATCACAGTAACTTAGTTGGGACTCTGCACATGCCCCTGTTTGAGCTATTTATAAAAACATTCAGATTTTTTTCATATGTCCAACACAGTCTAGATGTTCAAGCAATCTGAGATCAAATTTGACGGCACTGAAGGGCAAACCAAGGAAATCTCTAGCAGAAGAGCAGGCACCTGATTATCTGCTGCAAGATGTAGTAGCAAGATCCAAGGTCAAAGATGACAAAATCCTTCACAGAGTTCAGGGGAGGATGAAAGAAAAACAAAGAGACTAGTAAAGTCACTTGGCTGTTGCGGTTTTCCAGCCAAGCAAGGATAAAAAGCAGCTATTCAGCAAAGCTGTACAGACACTGTACTATAAGGGAGTTCCTGAAGAAAGGAAAGGAAAATATTTAATAAGCAATTTACGATTTGCTGGTATTGTCTGCCTCTTAAGGCTAGACAAGTCAAGACAACTACACGGTAACACAATAGTCTGCTCACTTTAAGAATCTGTGAATATTCAGATTTTAGGACGATGAGTGTAACATAAATACAAGTCTGCCACCTTCAAGCTGATTTAGTCGAGAGCCAAGGTTAGAATAACAACATCTTCCCAACATTAGCTTCTATAGCTTTAAAGACTAACACAATACCTTTGAAAACAGCTTTGCTACTGCTTTAGCATGTCAAGCAAAGGTATACATCATGCTAGCCTAGACACAAGAAATGCACAGAAATCTTCCCAGTATTCCAGGACACACTGTTCATCAAAACACTACTCAAGATCTCGCTAGAATACAATATTAAAAGCATTACAGTTCAGTTCTACACTTAAATACCATAAAGTGATTAAAATTTGCTTCAATTAATGTCTCGGATTTTGGCTGCATTAAAACTTAGAAAACATATTAAAGAGACTGAGCACAATTCATCATATACCTTTATCCAATTTATAGTAAAAATTATCTTTGCTATCTCCCCTACTAACTAGTACCACTATATGCCAAATATATTTCTGAAAAGGGGTGAATTTCAAAGGGGTGAATGGTGCATCACGTCCAGTTAGGAATCTCTGTTGCTTTCAAAAGAGATACATCAAAATCAGACTTACCCTTCCAAACACATCGCTAGACAACCAAGTAAAATTGTGTGAATTACATGATAAACTATTTCTGGCCTCTCTCCAATTCGACCATCCTCAAGTTTAACTGTCTCTTTCAGTGGTTCACCACTGCAGTTGGAGAAAATGAGACATCACTTAATTCAGACATTATCTCAGGCAAAGGTGCCAATAAAAATACTTTTATGACCTTTAAGTCAGCAGTGCACTGAGATCATTCCGTGACATATCATACAATATTGTTGCACTGCTTATTTGTTTTTGTACTTCATCAATGATCTATCAGTACCCACTGTCCCTTGTTTTAGACTGTAATCTCTCCGGAACAATGGCTGTGAACTAATACAATGGGATCACTGCCTGTGACTGTAAATCCTATTTTAAGGTAATTCAGCAACAAGAGACAGTCTAATTTAAAAGCATGCACACTCCACAAACATTTAGATGAAGCATGCTGTACATGCATTCTGAATAAGTTTCTTCATATCATTAGCTTGGTGAAGAATTATGGAATCTGTAGGACAATAATTGTGTATGGAATGTGTATACCATCTTATGACAAAGTGAGATAACAAAACCAGTTTTTAGTCACATTATTATAAATTCCAGTAATAGATTATAAATAAAAATCAATGAAAATCTTACAAATGTTTTTCTACAAGCAAGACAGCAAGGCACACAACAGATAACACTTTATTCTACCATGATGTGATTTCAGGTTACAATTTTATATTAAGTTTCCTCACAACAAATGGAAAAATATTTCAGATTATTAACTGCTTCAAAATTGAAAAAAAAAAAAAAAGGAGGGGGAGAAGGTTTATTTTAAGCTTTTCTTTTAAAAGCTCTTGTACATACTGGAGTCACTGCTCATTATGAAGTAGTAAATAGCTATTTCAACTACTAGCAAAAAATCAGAAGAGTTTGCTTCATTGTTTGGGATATACTATCACATATCCAACTTGACAAACATTTTCATTTATAGAAATGTAATCTTTACCTATTAGATGTCTTAGTCCTTGAAAAAGTCTATTGATTTTTGCTGCAGACAAGTGAGAAATTTGCCCTAATACCTGAGCAGTTACACCATTACATCTTCTACCAGGAAGAGATAATTTCCTAGCCATTGAGTTTCCAAGACAAGCTACACTAGGATCTACAGTCTTGTTATTCTTAGTCTGTAAACACACAGCTCTACTATCCCTTCCCTCAAGGGAGCTGTGAATCACTGTGAAACTAAAAATAATTGAGGCAGTTTTACTTCAGCTCTATTCTGAGTAGCAAAGGCTGATGGACCTTAGCACAGTAAACAAGAGTTTAAAAAAAAAAAAAAAAAGTGAAGCATTAGAAATCTGAAATCCTCTCAACTCCACCAATCTCATCCTTCACAGTATGCAAACCCGGAAAAAAAACAGCCAATCCAAAACCAGAGAAACAAATTTTCTAGCAACAATTTTCCTGTCAGAAGGGGAAAACAGACAGTGAAACAGAAACATCTTTCTCCCTTGCAACGAGAAGAGACATAAACATATCACAAAACATTGCGCAGAGCTCTGCAGGAATTGCACCCATGGGGCAAAAAAACTAATGACAACTCCCTGTCTTGAGTGGAATAATGCTCAAGAAACTTGTCACTAAAGTACTTTCTTTAGGGGCCTCTGGTGGGGCCTTTCCACTGGTGCTCACACCCTGGCAAGCTCAATGGTGCAACAAACTCTGAAGCAACAAACATCATGACCACTCACTTAGACATTCATAAACCTCTTTTAACTTCTTATTTTTCAGTATAAATAAGTTACTTACCAAATTCTCCTAAAAATGACCTGAGTTACAGAAAAAAGGCAGATAATTAATACTAAAATATAGAAAGGCAACAGTGATGACTGTGTTAGTCGCAAAAAAAAGTCTTGGGAGGGTGCCTGAAGAGATTCTTGACAAAGGAGCCAATTCATTGTAAAATTCCTAGTAAGGCAAAAACATCCCATTAAAAACAATAACAATACCCCACAGACTAGAAATAAAAACGACACACAACCTATCACAGTTTAACCTGTTCATGTCATAGGAAACTATCTCAAATTCATCTTTGAAAAATTATCTTTTTATCATTTGAAACCACTTTGCAAGTACTCTTTAGAGTAACTGTCAAAAGCTTGTCTTCCAAAAAAAAGAATCTGTGATCTGAAGAGAGCAGACTACAACTCTTTTACATCACAAAAACTTCAACCTCCCATATAACTCCATTATGGGGACCACAAAGCACTTTGTTGTCACAGTGGATTAAGATTTTAGAGATACTGATGCAAGAAGGTATGTTTGTCCTCATTCCAAACGGGGAGATGAAGAAGGGAAAGTGGTCATCCGAGATCACAAACAAGCTCGAGGCACTGCCAAGAATAGAATCCTTAATGCTGAAATTCTAGTTCTGTAGCCGAACCCACTCGATCATTCTTCTTTCTCAATTAATGAGCAGAAAGGTTATATAGTCTGCCAAGAAGCACTATCAATGTGTATTCTCAACTGGAATTGGTGCAGCATGTGATGCTGTGAATGCATTCTTGTCTTACTTTGTTTTGCTTTCCTCTCTCTTTCCTTTTCCTTTTCCCCCAAGGGAAGACTAGAGAGCTGAACCACTTTCAGTTAGACAGAATCAGTTTAAAGTTTAACAGCTGGGCATGTCCAAACTGGCCTTAAAAGTCACATCTTGAAGTTCTTGTGCTGCAAAACATAACTCCAGCCCACAGTTACACAATTTTCTAGGTGTAGCTGCACACAGTTTGTCTCAATCACCGGCTTCACTGCAGAGTTTGACAGCCTGGAAAGTAACATGTAGCAAGTCCCCAGGGGAACAAAAAAATAAAATCCATAATACCTGGTAGCTGAATAAACTGAAGTCCTGACAGGAAGCGGTCCTTTCTTTTCTTGCAAAACACTTTAGAACGTGCATGTGTTAAACCATGCATCTTAGTCAACGTCATTACATCTTGTCTTCCAAAAATTCACCAACAATTTCAATTATGTGTGACATCATTTTCCACTTCTTCCCCTGAAAAGCTGTGAAGTAGTTTAAGAGAGATGCAGTTCCCAGGAGAGAGTCACAATTCCTGCACAGAACTGAAAGTCTTCACTTGGATCCAGGCGATGTCTCAGTCCTTACCATACTTCATTTGAAGTTTTCCAGAAAATCTGTAGCCATGATGTTGTCTTCTTGTAGACCAACATTCAACTCTTTTATAGATGCAAACAGTTTTTCTTAGAATCACAACTATTCCCTCTGACTTTTAAGTTGTCCCTTGTCCTAATTTCTTCTGAAATGTACAGCTTTTTTGGGGGGTGTTATTCTTACAGAACTAAAACGTCACAACCCAACCCTGTTTTGAGATAGTATTGATAGTTCATGACTCTTTTCAGAGCCCTTTCTTTTCCAGGCTATAAAATGTTAGTACCACCACCTTTATCCTATTATCTTTGCTTTCAAGTCTTATTAGAAACACTAGACAGGGTACAGAAGGTTTCTGCTCTTCAACATCAAAAGAAAACAAAAATCTATGAAGTGCTTTCACCCCAAGGCATGAAAAATATTGAGGTGCCTCAGAAACCTCAAAACCCCAAGTAAATTCTGTATATGCACCTTTTTTTAATCCTGTCTTAAAACCAGGCGACAAATAGAAACTGTTTCCCTAACTCCTCTATAAAATTCTCACAAGCCACTTAAATTTTATACTTCTCAGAGCAGTTTCAGAAGTTCGGATATCTTAGAAGGTGTAAAGAGTTTAAAAACTTACTTAGTTGTGTTTAAGCCAAGTTTTACTTCAATGAACTTCAGCAAATGCTCATTTTCTTTATGAGGAACAAACATCTGAAAATTAATTTAGCAGAGTAAAAATCTTATCAAGTGCTGGAGGCAGCTTTCACGTAGTCACTTCATTCAGATTACAAAATGGTAGGGAACAATCAACTATTCAAGATTTAGTTAAAGCTAACAAATGTGATTAAGTGTACCAATTAAGGTACCCATGTAGTACTGTAAATCTTCACTTAAACAAATCTATCTTTAGGGTTTCCTTGAGAATATAATTTCCTTAATTTCATTCATGCACCCCAACAGGAGCACAAGTGAAAAGCTGTCAACAAGTTGTCAAAAGACTACTGAGCGGTGTAAAAAGGATCATGAAAAACCAACATAAACTTACCCCCAAGCAAGCCAAAGAACATTGCGTCTTGGCTCCACTAAACAAATACGACTGCAGCCTAGCAAAAGTTACAAGCATTTGTAATCTTCACATAAATTGTTTGAGCAGCCAGAAGTTCTGTGTACTGTATACGTAATTTAACTTGTATTTTTCAAGGTTAGGTTTTATGTTCCTGGAGATACAGCAAGGCTAGCCAATCTGAATGGCACAAGAAAACAATCAGTTCTGAGCATCTTCTCAAACTTTTTAGGGTTCACTAGGTTATTTTTAAGTCAACACTATTAATTAACACAACCAGGGTGAGTTTGAGACACAGAGGAAAAGCACAGTAAATTATGTAAAAGGCTAAAGCCAGTAAGAGGGAGTTGCTAATCAAAATACAAGACCAGGCTAAAATCACATAGTGTAACCTCAGCTCCTAGCTGGCTCCTACCCTAAGTGAAGATCTTTGCTCCCATGCTCTAGTTGAAATTTATCTGAAAATTAACATCTAACCTGAGACTAGTCATACCTGTTCCTGGCTATTAGGTCTTCTCCTTGCACAAGAATATTGTTTTAATATTCAGTCCAGTTTGTAGAGGCCATCCAAGTTATAATAAAAACCACATTTATGAAATAACTAAAGTGTGACTCAAAGAGTATTTCTATACTATGCTTTAACCTCAACCCAAAAGACCAAAACCCTAACAAAAAACACCTGATTGAGTTGTTGAAGACTTTTCATAGAGAAAAAATGACTCAATTTTTAGTACTTCAATTTGCTATGAATTAAGCTATGAACTCTCAGATTAATAAGATAAGCAACACTTCAAAAGACTTTTCCAAGATATATCTGCAACTTTCCATTTAGATTTTGACAGTAAAAAATCACTTTTTACAGAAGAATCTTACCTTTAGTAAGAAGTTTAGTGTCACTGTTATTGTAAGTACCAAATAAATATACATTATTTTCAGCAATCTTGATATAAATGTACCTTTTTTCATATTCATCTGCAAAAATATTTTAAGAATGCCGTATCATTTGGAGTTCAGTTTAAATAATAAAAACTACACTCAGAGTTAGAGGAGAGTCTAGTTACCTGAAGGCATTTAGAGAACATTAAAGCTGCTACAAGACTCAGTAATGGTGACACTAGTAAGGCTGAATTTTCAAACTGCAAAAGGTACCCCAAGAAGAGAGAAAACAAGTAGATTTTGTACACTTCATGCACCTGTTGAAGAACAAAATAAAACACAATAAAATAAAATTACAGTGGATGTAAGTCTTGCTTTTTAGAGCAGTAGATAGCTCAGTCCTCTGTTAATCAGGGGATTAATGGATCTCTATCCTCCAACTCACTAATCTAGCCCTCCATTTAGCTCTGGAAAGTATTTCACATCAAAATGATCCTGGTCAGCCTCAGTAACTAGTGCACGATTACTTCACCAGAATTCTATAAAAATGCCAAAAGTAGTAGTATTTTACAAAGGCTCCCCATTCTGTAACACCTCACTGTGATGCAGCATGAAGCAATAACCACAATGCAACAGTATAAAAACACACAATTTGTGTGAAAGAGCTGACTACTGTAAATATGCGCTTTCCTGGCCCTCACAGTATCTTGTTCATGTAACCTATCTCAGGAATACACAGACTGTTACTGATAGTTTGTTATTTACTAATGGATAAGCAGATCTTGCAAACCCCGATACTTGATTCTTCAGACTTTTACCAAAACACCCTTATATTTTAAGGGCCTTGCTTTGAACTGAAATAGATCAAACATTTCCCACCGAGGTACAGAAAAAAAGGCAATTGAAAGAAGAGGTGACGAATTAGTATTGCATGCAGTTTGAAATGGAAGTTACATCTAATAAAACTAGAAGGCACACATGTACGAAGTAGCATATTGCAACAGACTCAGAAAAAATGCCTTATTCTTGCAACATTTCTAAGAAACATTTTGCAGAATGAATTCAAATACTTTCTTGTATTGAAAAAAAACAATTGGCCTTCAGCATCTGTCTAGCCTATGTATTGGCTAAATTAGTACAGAGTGGGCCATTCAGGGCGAAAATGAGCTCCTTAACTGCACAGAGCAGTTTTTTGGTCAGCCCCACCCTACTGTGAATAGGGAAAGGAAAAGCAGAGGCAGCTAGGCCAAAAAGGATGCATGACTGATTAGAGTTCATCATTCTTTCAGCTCTCCAAGGATGTTTCAGGCCTCAGAAGCTTTGTTTAGCTTCAGCCCTCTGTAAGTTTTCGTGCTGCTATGTGCAAGTCAGCCCTACTCTGCAAGATGAAGAGGCGCCCCCGGCCACCCCTTCTGGCTGCACCATGGATCTCTTGGATCCACATGGAAATACAGATATACGACTTCAAAGAGCTTTCAGTTCTGACACAAAAAACCCCCATAAAGCTCAAAATTATACTGTTCTGAACCACTGTTGTGTCACCCTATTTAAGGCAGTATTCTCTCTCTCTCAGCTCTCCTGCTACTGTTAAGTGTGCAGGGTATATCACAGGATTCACCTTAGGGCAGAGACTGTAGTGACTATGTTTCCTAGATAATGAGCATCTGAGAAAAGGCTGTCCAAGGAAGAGGAAAAGAAGCAGCAGCAATGCTTTTAGTTAAATAGCAGTCATTTGCTCAGCCAAGCTTTGTTTAGCTTCTGACCCTTTTGTTTGTCCCAAACACAGTAGTCCAAAAGAGAGTGAATTTAAAGCCATTTTATTCTTCTGATGGGCATGACATGCACTTCAGCTGGACCCAGGCTGCAAGACACTCAAGTCATCACTCAGTCTGTGCTCTTTGAAGCGCCTGAGCAATATGTAAGGCGGGCATCTCTGAGGCTGCATTTAAGTCCCCAACTATCAGTAGGTTGAAGAGTTATAATACCTTCTCTGTCTGTGCCAGGGCAAAGCTGTCTAGGAGAAAAAGAGAAACAGCCTGGACAAACAGGAGATAATGACTGTATTCCCACATCATCATGAAAGTATATGTTGAAGCACTCACCAAAAGGTAACAAAACTTCTAGAGAAAAAAAGAAAAACAAAAAAGCATTAATTTCATACCTATACATTCCTGTCACTAAGTAATTGAAAAGTCATTAAAACAGAAACTATGGAAATGAATCATTATTTTAGGAAATAATTAAAATACTGACTTCAGACATATTTAACATGTTCGCAGATGGAAGAAAGTAATTACTGAAACATCCAAAAACATTTAAAGCAAATCAGAAGAAACATCTTTGACAGAGAGACAGGGAAAGGAGGTTATGACCCTCTTCTCCGAGCGACAGAAGAGCAACAAAATAGTTTACGTAGTGAGAAAAATTCTGCATCAGTTTATTTTAAAAAGACAGCACACAGCTCATTACCACACTGTTCCCTCTGAACCCTCACGGCCGCATAACAGGGCAGGGCACGAGTTGCTTAGCAAAAACTGCACATGCCTAGGTGAAATCCAAGCGGCTGTTTTGAAAAGAACAAACAAAACATCTACTGTTTTCTGCCTAGTAGGGCAATAGTGACAAAGGTAATTACTCTAGAGCACAGTTCTACCAGCAACTCTTTATTAAGAAATTAATTTTGCTTTACCTCAGCAGAACAATTTAGGTTTTTTTTTAAATAGCCTGTGAGAGCTGCTACTTGACATGCAAAATATGGCAAAGCCCAATTTTCTCTTGATGGTATGGAGTAATCAATTCTTGTTGTATCTGTCCTAGAATAAAGTACAGACAAAGAAAATTATTACAAGATTTATGGAACAAAAATATCAAGGAAAGCCTAAATGTCACTTCTAGTTACCAGCGGGGCCTTGCAAGCAAACAATTCCTGTATTAGGTGCAAAGTAATACTGACACAATTTCGCTGCTGATACAGGTCACAAATTTAGTAGCAGCATGGAAGGTCCAATCTTTACTCATTTATTCAGCAGGTCTCCTTATTAGGTGGTGTTCATTGGACTGAAGCCAAAAAGCATCTGCCTCCAGCCTTTTCTGACCCACCACAACACTATGCAAGCTGGACACATCACATGCTGCTTCTGCCAACCCTCACGGTGACAATGGAGTCTTCTTTGGCCACAAGCAGTGCTGAACGGTCTTATGTCCATAGGCAGGGGACCGCTGCCGTAACAGTAGCTTTTCACATTACAATGAAAATTGGCTCACAGCTGAGAGAAAACACTCCTTTCAGCTCTCATACAATATGTTTTAAATAAATGATTTAGGCGGTTGAGCACAACATACTTAGAATCCAAAGTAGTGCTCCCTCATAGCAGCACCAGGACCAGCAGATACTCTGTCTACAGGGAAAATTCTGCCCAGCAAAACAAGAGATTAAAGACGGATGGGGAGCATGGGCCAGAACAGAAGCAGGGTCTTCTCATGGAATGACTTGACAGTTATCTGCACAATTAGAGCTGTAGAAGAAAGTTTTAAAAAGTGCTAAAGTGACTTAGAAGCACAAGTCACACTTTCAAAGGTCATCAAAGGCATCAGAGGTACATAGTCTTTTTTGTGTCTGCTATGCTTTTAAAAAGTAGCCTCAAGCTCCTTTATCATTTAGATATTTGAAGGCATCACCTTTCATTTTTACCTCTGAAGCCTCTTATAGAAGCATATTTGGAGCTTTTTTAACTACTAGACCTTTCAATTTGCTAACATGGTTTACTATTCTTTGCTGTTAAGAAAAAAAAAAAGATTTATTCACCATTTTCCCTATTTTCCCGTGTTCACACCAGCTTGGTGAACAGGATTCTTAGCCACTAATCACAGATTCGGTCATGATGACTTCACACTCCTAAAAAACACTTCCCAACAGTTCAACTTTAAAGGTCTATCTCTAACATTTTGCTCTTCCATAGCTCTTTTCTTACAAGTGCTCTCAAGTTCACAGAAAGCCCCAGGGATACTTGGTGACAAAGCAGGAACCTGAACACAAATTCTCATTGCGCAAGTAAGGCTCCCTATTACTGTGGTCTTTCATAAAGGGAAGGGACATTTTCTTGCAAGTAAAACATTTTAAAATTAAAAAATCTTGAGATCAGGATCATCTAAGAAGATTCCATTTTGCACAAAAACCCACTACAAAAAGCAGATTAAAAAAATATAAAGACTCTATACAAGAAAAATGCACTTGGTCATTTCATTTTAAGCAACAGAACAACGATTACAATATTTAGAGCTGGCCACAGAGAGTACTTCTGTTTTACAGCAGCTTTGCAAATGTGCTTTCACACTTCACCAGCACAAAACCAAAACCTTCTGAGGATGTTTTTGGAAAATGGAATTGTGTGAGAATACTCCTGTATTCACACACACACATAAAGACAGTTCAACTGGCAGCGTGGATGGTTTGGACAACAGGAGGCCTTTTCCATTAATAAAAGCATCATGAGAATCAATGCATCTCTGGGAGATGTTTTGTATTCGGCATAAGAGCTTGTTCTCACAATGAGAACACAAAGTTTAATAGAAAGCATTTCAATCTGCTCTAATATTTTAAAATATTGCCTTATTGACAAACTAGATTGTATAAAGATGTTTTTCTTACCTGTTAATAATGAACCATGCTACAGTCAGCATTCCTGCCAGCCAAGTCCCACTCATAACCCAACTGGTTACAAACAATGCAGTCACATAAATTCCCTGCAGTCCAAAAACTATACCAATGTAGAAATACACTGGTTCAATAACTTCCTGAAATTACAAATAAAAACGAAGAGACATAGCGGCAACTGAGCTGAAGCTGGAAATGATTACTATTTACATACTGCTAACAGTGTGCTAGGTGCTTTACAAACAGGTAAGAGATGGCCTCTATTCTAGAAAAGTGCTGAGCATGCTTTTATTTTGGGCTCAGTGAGAACAAAGCAGTGTGAATTAAGAGCGCACTTCAGGACTCAGCTTGCTAGTGCCATGACTTTTGTAATTGCTTTAGCATGAACATTTTATGTGTCAGATTTAATAAACCTATACTGCAGTGAGATATAAAGTTCACAGGACTACTGCAAGAAGTTATGTGGAGAAGGAACTTGGAGAAGTAAAGATGTGGCAAAAATAGTTCCAAACACAGAGAAGCATATATAAAAGAAATAAATAATAATTAAAAAAAAAAGATAAACGAGAGAGCACACAAGTATGCAGCGTAAGCAGAACAAAGCCTGAGTAGAGCAGAAAGAGACAAAACATTTAACTACAAAAGTGTTTTTTCCCTTTTATCTATGAGAATGGCTAGAGATAGGTACCACTATAACAGACTTCTGTACTCTGAAGAAGCTAACTTTCCTGTTTTTAATGGATAGCCCTGATACTCTCCACATTTCTAAGCAGTTTGTAGAAGTAAAGAATAACAGACAAAAAAGTTTAATGCATATAAACCCCCAAAATCCTGTGCCAGAGACTGATGAGAATTGAGGAGAACCTGGACCTAGTGAGAGGCTTAGTTCAAGTCATTCAACAGAAACTGCAAGTATTTATTGCATACAGCAGAGAAATTCTCATACACACACATCCCCCCCCCCGATAATGAAAGCACAGAAAGTAGGGAGAAGTGCACATACTTCGCTACCAGATGCTTGATACAAAACACTGGCAATCAACTCTGGGTACAAAGTCATTTGCTGGACTGCATTGATCGTCTTCAGTGATATTGTCTTATTGTTGTGTGTCAATTCATAAACACCTATAGACAAAAAAATATATATTATTCTTGGAATCACTTACTATTGCTGCTCTTAAAAGAGGTAAAAGTGTACTCAAAGGTAGGGGGAAACAGATATGCTCATTAAAGCTACTGACTGATTCACCACTCCTAATTTTAAAGGGAGGAGAAATTTCTGTGCCAGATGCCATTCCACCCTACTGATTTAGCAACAAAGTTCTCATTTTTTGATCTAGCCTTTAAATAGAAGGCCCAAAACTAACCAGCTGAAGCACAGCCTCAGTAACATACTGATGAAGTCCTGGAACCATCTACCTATAGATCTCCTTCACAGGAGGTTCTTAAGAAGTGAGATAAAGATCTAAAAGGGATGAGCAGGATGTATTAATCCTGTCTCCACCAAGAGGTCAGCTATGATGGCCTCGTCACCCTTTTTAGCCCTGAGTTTCTCAGACTTCTAAAAATCACTCACTTAACACAATATGCCTTTATAACGGGATTGAGATTAAATTGAAGCTGGCATGCTCGAAGGATACATCATTCTGATATACTATAATTTAAAAAATGACATAATTACTTAGGACAATAGAGGGAAGAGGAAAAATAATCTAAATTAGAGAAGGAAAAAAAAACCCAAACAAAACCCCCAACAACAATGCAACACCCAAACAAGATTACCGTTTCCAACTCTGAACATATCATGGTGTGTGGTCTGCAGCTGGTTCTCTGCAGGCCAAACCAGGTCTTGCAGAACTTCCAGCTAGGTTTAGCACAGCTATGATACACCTTTGAAAACTGGGTGTCTCTATAATACCTAGTAGACACATAAGTCTACCTGTTTGCAGGAACAGCATGACTGAATGAGGCAGTCCATCTATCCACACCATGAGTAATGTCCCCAGAGATAATGAGGAAGTGACTGTAGCAAAGACCTATTATATAGTGCTGACGTGCTACACATCAGCTGAGAAACTGTTCCACCAATAAAACTATACCTACAAAGTTTAACTGCCTTCAGATGAGAGTTCACGAGAGGACTCAACTAATTCAATGGCTGACCGCTGCAAGACAGCGCTGTTCAATCCCTGTTCTCTCCTGGAGTTCTCGCCTTTTCCCCATGCTAGCCCGGGTGCCCTTCTGAACTCACTAAACTAGCACAGAAGCGTTACATCTTCTTTTCATTGCTTTAGTTTTCTGCTGGTTTCAGGACCTGGGGTCAGTAAGCTCCAGAGCCAGTGCAGGATAAGCAGCAGGATCACAAAGGGAGGAGAGACCATTGCCACTCCATTTGTTCTACTTCCTCTTGGTTTCTGTCCCCATCACTCTGTGCTCACCAACATCTACTCATCATAGCTGACAGGAGTGGAAACCTCTGGCAGGGACAGATCAACTCTTGACAGAAACTGTTCCATCTTCTGACAGAGGATGGAAAACAGTAATTTCCATCTGTCATTCCCAAATTAAACAGCAATTACGCTTACATGGCAGAAGATCCACTATGTAGCATAGGCAAACCCAACAATAACTTCCATAAGGGGCAACATGACAGTAATATTAATCCTATTGCAGAGTATTGATTAAAGGAAATCCACTGGAATACAGGATAGTTAAACATTGTTTTTTAAAAGGCACTGAAAAGTTAGGACAGCATGCAGTTTTTAATTAATCTGACTGATATACCTATATGAGAGTATAAAATGAGTCTCCCCAGTCTGCAGTTTTTTACTGTCTCCAAAAGGAACAGGATTTTTCACGGTTAATAAAACAAGCGGGTTTTGTACCTCTTTCAAAGGAAGGAGCCTTTAGCAGTTCTTTATAGAATGAGTAATAAATGGCGCTGTCACCTTGAAATGTAATTTCTCGTTCAAGTTCCTAGGGAAAAAAAAGATATATTCACCTCCTGCAATCTCTTCCCATAGAAGACTATATATTTTCAGATAGACCGGTTTTGTAATACAGTGCATGGTTATGACTCCACTGTACATCCCCAAAGTATTCCAGAAAACATTAATCTTCACAGCACCTCTGTCAGGTATATAATGCTTTCTACAATTTAGCAAACATGCTCAGAATCAGAGCAACTCAAATCTACATTGTAAGTCAGCATAAGATCCACAGGATCCTTTAATACTCACAAACCTGAATTTAGTTCAAACTTTTAATACTTCACTAAATAATACAGTTCTTAAAAAAAACAAAACAAAAAACATTAATCCCTTTTGTTTAGCTTATGCAATCCCAGCATGCTTCAGTTTCTTCTCCAAATTTTAGAAAAGTATTTCAATGATAAAGGATGGCATGGAAAAACATATAAAAACCATGACAAGACAAGACTTCTGTTAGTAGGAGAAACACTTTAAAAAAAAAGAAAGAAAGAAAGAAAAACAAAAAAGAAAAAAAGAACTATATCAAAGACAGAGGCCTGAGTGGAACAACATGGGATTCTGAGCGCAAGTAGTTCCAACCTGACATAGATCAGCTTTGATTTCAAGGACACAATTTGGCTTTTGTTTCAGTAGTTTAACTTTTTTCTTTACCTGCCTGCTGGAAAACCAGAATTTCCGTTCATGATATGTTGAGAGGTACACAGCATACATCATTCCACTAGTGACTGCCGCAAGACAGCCAAAGAAAAGTTTCGCAAAACGCTGAATTAACATATCTGAAAAGGGACAGTGAAAAAGCTAAAATAGTCCAGAGGACTTAGAAACAAACAGTATGCCCTAAATATGCCTCATTTCTGCGCAGCAGGTAAATTTACTGACATCAGAATTATCACACCTTCATCAGCACCGATACATTGAGAACTGGTTTGTTATTCCTCTCCTGCAGAGTTTTCTTTCCCAATTGTTACCACCTGCTTCACAGGACTCTCAGATAAAATACTCACACACTACACTGCAAATTTCTCTGCATTTCAGTAAACTTCATTTTCAAATTAATTCCAAGAAAGGTGTCTTCCAAATAAACAGAGTGAACTCTAGGTTTTAGCCAAAACATCACAAACTTCTTAAAAGACATTAACAGAAAGAGGTGGTGATACCACATCTAACATCAATACTGAGACATTCTATTCTCCGTTCTGTTTTCAAATAGAAGAGGAAGGAACTAATCTGAATTTTACCAAATTCATTCAATGGGTGTCTACTTCACCTGTAGCTCCCTCATGTTAGTATGCACTCTTTTATGTTAAAAAGTTTTTGGTAGCTTGGCGAGCACTTGCCTAAAATTACACTTGGTTTTAAGTCTGTTTCTTGAAAAGCTGTAAGGACTTTTTGTCTGTTCTTGTTTCAGTACCATTACTTCATGCCTTTCAGCTTCTCAACCTAAAGACCATTCCAGGGGCAATTAAAATATTCATTTGTACTCAAATAGTTAACAACAGTACGATTCTTAACCCCTTCGCCTCTCCCCCCAACTTGAAACAATCCAGGACTACCATTTTACTCCGCAGTATATAAAATGTAATTATTAAAGAATTCTAATGTGCATGCCTGTTTTTTCTTGAAACATTCAAAAACTTAATTCAAAATAAGTCTGTTATAAATTACTGTGCTACAAATATCTTCCCATAAAATGTAAAAGAATAATGAAAAAAAAAAAATCAGAAGTTGGCTAAAAATTCTGTAGCTTACATTTTGGCGATCTTCCCAGCTTTGAGTTTTCTTTGTTTCTCTCCTCTGGAGCCATTTTGTCAGATTCTGTGCAGTTTTGCTTCTTTCTCTGTCGCAGGTCTGCTGCCCCTGAAGACGTTTTTTGGAAGTTATTGCAACAAAATACCTAAAAATCACACTCTGAGAAATCCACACAGTAGCAGGTAACAGCCAGTTATTGCTACTGATTCAACTCCACAGCAGATATATTTTACAAAAAGACTCAATTAAAATATTTCATATGTCTAATTAAAATAACAATACAACAATACAGAAATAAATTCCTATGTTATTCCTTAGAAAATCCAATAGTTTGCTCTTGAGGCCATACTCTGGGATTACTCAGAACCCAAACTGGAAGCTAACTGGTTTATTCCATGGTGAATGTATTATACAAATGAGGGAAAGCAGTCATTTAGATAAGTTGATACAGACACTGGGAGAAATTGGTGCCAATTTCATTCTACTCTCATCCTGGTTTTACGCTGCTACAGTACAGTACTGTTCTAGGCACATTAATGTAATACAAAAATTGGACTAGTCCATTACTTTCAAATTGAGCTGCCTGTATGAATTGGTGAAAGCTTTTATAAAGTAAATATAGTATGACTTTTTTTTCCTGCTTCCAGATCTACTGGAACTAATCAGGTTTATGAATTTTTAGTCTAATATATAACTAAAAAGCCCAGTCTGCTAGGCCATGTAGATCACATCACAAGACTGAGGGCTGCTTCGGCTTCTGTAAACAGCAGCAGTTTGAAGCCTTGGCCCATTTATTTTACAGTCTGAAAGGCAGCGACTCTAATTCACAGAGCGCAAGTCTCCATACAAAAAGATTCATCGCAAAAAATCTCTTATAATTACTATATTAAAAATGACATCCATGTGTGATGAAAAGGTTTTTAGCTATCCAGTTTGATCTACTGTTCAACATTGTTTGAAATTTTGTAGCCACTGATTTCCTCTGGACTTAAAAAAAAGCTTTTTCATAAAGCCATTCGACTTCAAACTTGAAGTGTCAATCTTCACATCCCACAATGAAGCTTTTAATTACTCTGGTTGTATATTACTGTCTAATTTGGTCTGTTTTTAACTCCCAACTATTAGATTTAAAAGTTAGAAACTAGAGATAGTAATATAAATAAAACCTTTAAAGCAGTGTCTGCCTGTATGAGGGCACCTATATTTGTGTTTTAATAGGACTCTCAAAGCAATTTATAAATTATTCAGAGCAAGCCAAGATCTCAATGATAACATTTTTGATGGCATGAACAGAAAATGTCTACCTTCTTAAATAAGAGAAGAATTGGAAAGATATTAAACAAAACAAGGTTTAGGGCGTTAAATTATCACATTTATCATTATGTCAATCCAAAATGAAATATACACCAGGATCTCTTCATGTCATGTATATTAAGTTAATGAGCATCACAAATATCAAGTACACTGCGATTAAAAATCACTTGTGCTACATAAAATAAAATGGTGGGGAAAAACCCCTAGACCAGCAGAATGGGCAGATATGTGCTTTGAAAGACAACTGTTTGCCCTTGTCATTCTAGTTATGACCAAAGCAACAGCAGTGAGAACACTGGAGGAAAAGGCATTTCTTTCCCTTTTCTGGCAGATAAGTGAGCCACGTTAGAAGTGTAAAACGCTTATAAAGTTTAGAGTTAAGAGCAGTAATAGAAAACTCCCAATGACAGAACAATTAAAAGTTCTAATTCTGAAACAACTACATCTCAGTCAGCAAATGATCTTCACCTCTGTTTTGAGGACTGATCAACAGATTCCCCCACTCAAAGCAATAATAAAGATCCAAGTATGCTACTTCTGTTTCATTTGCAGCTGCCTCGAACAAGAAAAATGCTGTTTCCACTTCTATGAATCCTTTAAATGGGGTGAAATGAAAGTCAAAACAAGGTGACAACTAAAAATAACCTAGGATTTTGAATTGATGACACAACTCCTAGTACCTCTCTATCCAGCAAGCAATTTTTCATCCAAGATTGCTTTCTAGTTCCCTGTAAGTTCCCAGTACTTTTTTTTCAACTCTTGTTGAGACATGTGTTCCACTTATTTTTGTGTATCTTTTGCAGAAAACCCTAACTCATTGCTCCTGTGTGCCACTATATTTTGCCTGCATTTTTTGACTGCAAATTGAGCACTGTCTGCAATTCTTGTCCTCGCATCTAAACGAGGATGAAGTAGAGCTGGGAAACATTTAGACATGGGCCACAAGGATGATCAAAGGCGTACAATGGCTGCCATACATGCAAGGAACAAGGAAGCAAGTTGAGGATGCCTCAGTCTGGAAAAGAAAGTGACCGGCAGAAACATGCCAGAGGTCTACAAGCTAGTGAAGTGCACCAACAGGTTGAATACAGAGCAGTGATTCACAACCTTTTCTAATACTGGAACAAGAAGTTATCAAACCAACCCAGTGAGTCAAGCTAAAAGGAACCAGTTCATGGCACACTGCCTTCTCATATATCAGTCCTTCCAAAAGAATGTTCTGTAAACAAAGAGTTTACATCGATTCAAGAGATAAAGGACCCATTCACGGAGGACAAATGGCTGAAGACTAAATAGACAGAAACCACATCCAGCTCAGAAAATCCCCCAGCTGAGAACAGTTGAGAGGCTGGGATATGCCATGGGACAGTAACACATATGCTTATTTTGCTCTTGCATTTCTCTGGGTGCCTGTTTACAGTCACGTTTTTGTTGATTTCCCCAGGAGAACTACATGCCATCTCCTCGTCCCCACAAAGGGGGTTAGCACAAAAGAGGCCTGGAGAAAAAAATGATTGTGTGGGGTGCTGAAAGGGAAACGAGAGAGGAGACAGACCAACATATACAAACGGGGAAACGGAGGGGATACCAAAGAAAAAACGCACCCACGGAGGCATCCACGGAGCCGATGGATGCTGCCCCGGGGTATCTACGGAGCCGATGGATGCTGCCCCGGGGTGTGCTGCACAGAGGCGATACCAGGTGAGGGAAGAGAAACAGACCCCAAGTTTCGGGGCTCCCATCCACCCAGCTCCCTCCCGCTTGGTGCTGCAAACGATGGGCTGCCCTGGGCGGGGAAGAGGAGGCCTTGTCAGCGGGGCCCGAGGGGGCCGCCGAGCAGGGATGGCTCTGGCC